TTGTGCCTCCCTGGCTGGCCCTCTGACCTCTGCCTCTGTCCCTAGGCGTGGGGACCTGCCATTTGTCGTGCCCCGCCGAATGGCCCGAAAAGGTGCTGGCGAGTGCTCAGACGAGGAGGTGGACGGCAAAGCCGACGGGGCTGAAGCCAAAGCTGCCGAGTAACCTCCTGCCCAGGAAGGACAGACAGACCTACCGACCAACCAAGGGATGACTCCGCCTCCCCTTCCTAGTCCCCCACCTTCTTGGGACTGCTGTGACCAAACTTTCAACCCCTCCCACCGGGCCTGGGGCCCTCAGGCTTGCGCTCTCGTTCCGGCCCCACAGGCCTTGTTGAGGGCCTTAGGCTTCTCTGCTGCAGCCTCTCCCCTCCCCTCCCCTGTGCCCCAGAATCCGATACCAAAGAGTCAGGGTCCTGGGTCCCGGGCTCAGGAATGCGTGGCCTGGCGGACCTCCGGCCCTCGCTTGCTGAAAGCACAAGGCAGTGAGGCAAGAAGGGAGGCCACTGGGGCGGGCCAGAGAGTTTTCTACAATCTATTTTTATTGACCCTAAGGCGTTCTGAGAGCCCAGCACCCCAGAAGAGCGGTCACCTTCCTGCCTCCGCCACCAGCTCTACCCCCACCCCCGTCTTTGCTGTTGGCAATCACATGCGGTGACCTCACCCCCTCTGCCCCATTGGCCCCCCTCCGGTGGGCTCTGGGTGGCCTGGTGAGGGCAGGCCCAGGGGCGCCACCTCTGTGCAGGGCACAGAAAGCCGGGCGTGACCAGGGAGGTAGCTCCTCCCCGCTCACACTGGGCAGCGCCCCGTCCCCTTCCCGATCCTAAGACGTCTCAAGTGCAATGATGACCCTGTCCCTCCTCTGCTGAGGGCAGCCAGTCCTGTTACCACAAGGTCGTTGGGCTGAGCACACAGGGCCTCGGGGCGAAGCTGGAAAGGCCAGTGGTGTCTTCTCCCAACACTCTTGGGGACCAAATATTTGTAATGGTTAAGGGACTTGTCCCGAGTCTGACAGCCAGCACCTCAGACAGGGCCAGAGGCCCTCCCTCGCCACCCTGCACCTGCTCCAGGACCAGGGCCGGGGAGTGCATCTGCACCGTCGGCTCAGTACCGAGGAAGGACTCGCCACCTGCGCAGATGGTTTTTTGAAAGGAGAAAAAAAAGGTTTTCTCTCCCCCCCTTGTGATAATTGATCACATCCCCAGTCTTCGCCACTGCCTGCCTTTGGAACCACGTCTAGAAGAGAGTAGCGTGCCCTACACTGGCCTGCACTGGTTGCTGAATTTACCTGTGTTCCTAACTGTTTTGTATATGCTGCATTTGGACTTACTCACGGCAAAGAAGGCCTTCTTTTTAAGGAAAACCGACCCAACAAATCATGAAGCTGTGCACAAGCTGCATGTGCCTACAGAGCTCCGAATCCAGGTCCCAGTTGCTGTCACAAAGGAGCACCGGCGCTCCCAGCCCGCCCTGTTTCATAGAATAAAAGTGCCTTAGCGTGTGTTGCAGCCGTCACCACTACAGGAAGCTGGTTTACAGGTGTTTTCCACTGGGCGTCACAATAAAGAGTACCATGTGCTACACGCCACGTGTCTGGTGGTGTCCGTCTGCCGCAGAGGGCGGCCCGCAGGCAGCGGGCACCTGCTGTGTCCCTCCTGGAGGCCTCCGCTGGTGGGGTGTGGCTGGGACACGGGCCTGAGTGGGGAGGATGCTAGAGAGGCAGGCGGGGCCTGGATCAGGGACACTGAGAGCATCTCCTGTCAGCCTGGTCTCCTTGTTTACTGGGTACCTACTCTCTGTGTGACACCGAGCTGGCCCAAGGTGGAGACACAGCCTGGGAAGACTGATGTCCCCACAGTGGCAAGAGGTGGGGGAGGGAGGAGCGTTTCTCCTTAGAGTAGGGATGTGGCACCCACTTACCCAAAGGTTGGACGCCAGCAGTGATCCCTGGGCTCCTGTTTGACCACAGGGAAGGCGCCCTTCTCCCCTGGGGAGGCAGCAGCAGCGGCTGCCCTGGGAGGTGGGCGGGGCCCGGCCCTGGAGCCTCGGGGGCAGCTGCCAGCTCTCAGGGCACTGGGTTTTCCAGGCTGTGAGGTTTAGCCACCTTGTCATTTCGCCCTCATCACATCATCCTGGGTTGGGTTCCAGCTTCCCCAGCTCATCGTGATCCTCAACAAGGGGCGGGAAGCTTTCTGGTGTGTCTGGAGCCAGCAGGGAGAGACAGGGAAGACAATTACATTACATTTCCAGAATACTTGAGGGTTCTAAGAGTTTCTTCTGCTCTGGGGACACGGCACAGTCTCAAAAACAAACAGAAATGACAGCAGCTCAGCTCCCCACTTTTTGGGGAAGTCATTCAGCCTCAGCTTTCCTTTCAGAAACGAGAAATGAATGTTCCCCTCTCCGGCAGTTGGAGCAGTCAGGATTCCGTATGCGAAAATGCTTCAGGAGGTGTCAGGGGCTCGGGCCATGTCGTTTTTCCATAGGAGTTGGGCTTTTCAGGGCTTATTTACACTGTAGAAGATCACCAAGGGGTGTGGACCAAACTGCCATCCAACCCATCTTGAAGGGCAGCTCGGTGGCCAGGAGGTCCTCATGTGGCTGTGCAGCTGTCACCACCGCCCCCCACAGAACCGCTGTCTGCAGAGGAGGAGCTCTGTCCCCAAGAAACAGGACCTTCCCATGTCCCCTCCCCTCCCAGCCCCTGACCACTGTCTGTGACCTTGACCCTCCAGGCACCTCATGTCACTGGAGTCACGTAGCCTTTGCCTCAGGTGGCTGGATTATTATGCATGAGCACTGAGTCCCTGGGGCTCATTCCTGGGAGGGAACATGTGCCAGAGCTGCCTTTCTGTGTGAACACAACACTCCGTGTGTGTGTGTGTGTGCGCGCATGTGCACGTGCATGCGTGTGTGTGTGTGCCACTGTGGGCACAGGCCGAGCCCACCTTGGTCTTCGGTGACTCATGCTGCCGTGCATGTGAGTGTGCAGATAGCCCTTGCAGACCCTGCTTTCGGTGTTGGGGGTGGGGCCCAGAAGTGGAATTGCGGGGCACAGTGTGCTTCTGTGTGTGCTCTCTGTGCAGAGCACCGGCCACGCCGTTTTTCTCGGAGGCCTGGGGCTCTTCTTTCTGAGGCCGCACTCGAGCACAAGGGGAGCCGCCGGGGTCTCCCGACGGCCGCCACAGAGGTGGGCATCTGCGCTGGAGGTGCCCGGGGGTGTGGCTTTCACAGCCCCACCTCGCCCCTCCTGTTTGGACTCTGGGGACCTGGCCTGAGGCGCGTGTGCAGCATTCTTACTACTCAGTCTTCCAACTGAAATCATCTAGATAAATCGCTCCATACCCTGTTTTAGATTGGAATCCAAAACCTGTTATCTGTGAGTGTGGGCCCAATTCTCTTGATCACACATGTACATTACAATTAAACACACAGTATTTGTATTGACTTCAACATAAAAATACTGGACATCATGGGTTTGATTTCTGTCATATTTACACTTAGTCCCAACCCTTCCTGAATTGACCATTCTCACTCACTTGGGCCCAGTTTCACGACCTGACCAAAGACTAGGATTGTGCCCTGGATGATGCTGGCAGCTGGGCAACGAGGGGCCGAGACGGGTGGGCACTCCCCATGGGGTCCCCAGGTGCCACTGGCATGGGGGCGGGGCCTGAGTCTGCAGCCCCAGGTGTCTGTCTCTGCTGGCCACTCGGATGATTGCAAACGGCCCCTTTGTCCCATGCCAGTGTGAGGTTCCCTGCCCACCCCACCGTCCCTGTGAAAGGGACGGTGACAGGGAGGTAGGGCCCCTCTGCTGGAGCACGGCACTTGCAGTGCCCACCGAGTCAGAGCCACACGTGCCTCCCCTCACGTGGGAGAGCCTGGGTGGGCCAGGGTGGCTGGGGTGCGAGGTGGGTGTCTGGCTGGGCGCCTCCTCCAGCCTCCACCGGGCGATGCTGGGGGCACAGGCCAGACACCTTTCTAAGCGACTTTGGGGTTACTTTTCCACCGAGTTGGGCCTTCATTCATGGTGGGCTGAGAGCTGCTAGCTGTCGACCACAGCTTTTGGCCAAGATCCCCCACTCAGATTGCCGCCATCCCAGGTGGCCTTCTGTGCTGTGGGTTGTCCAGCTGAGTCCCATTTACTAGTCACCGTGTCTTTGGTCCCTAAGTGGGGTGATCTCCGCTCCTGGCCCTGGAGTCAGGAGAGGCCTAATTCTCACCTCAGCTTGGCTTTGGAGTCTCCACCTTTGTCATCCCACCAGGAGACTGTGTCTGCCAGGTCACGGGTGTCTGTCGGGAGTCCATTCTGCATTCTCAGCAGAGGATGTCTACGGTAACGGGACCGCAGCTCCGACGAAGGTTTAACTGAGTTCCGCATCTCACACGGGCATTGTCTGGATGTGAAGCTGACATCGTGCTAGAGGGAGAAGAACTGGGAAGCAGGGAGGTTACAGGGGGGAAAATGGCAGAAAGTAATTGTAAACAGGTGTCAAAGGTGAAATAGGACCCTTGGTTTGAGTCTTGGCTCCTCCCCTGAGCTACCTGGTCAAAGCCTTGGCCTGTCCCCCACCTCGGCTTCCTCTTCTGCACAGCAGGCCACGTTCCTGGCACAGTCTGTGGGGTGCATATGAGAGCAGACTGGGGTGTGTGTCCTCACGCAACACTGTCTGTCAGTCTGCTGTCCCTCCCTAAAGAGCAGGGGACAGGTGGCCGTGGTGGCCCATAGACAGTTTCTCATGAAAACAGGCCCCGATGGAAGGGCCGGGTTGACCATTGTGCACTCCCGGCCCCACCGCCCCCGCCTGGGGCAGGGCGGGAAAGCCCGACATCTGCAGGACTTACAGATGACCCTGCCCGTGGGTCACCGTCCTTCCAGTCACCTGAGCCGTAGAAGGGGGTGGATGGTTCCTAGAGCCGGTGTGCGAATTGAAGGGGAGAGCATGCAGCCTCCTGCAGGGTGCCCGGCGGGCCCTGGCCCTCCTGCGTTCGGGCGGTGGGTTTGGTGGTGAGCTTCTCAGAACTGAGGCATCTGCTTTCACTTTCGCTTCCTGCCGTTTCTGAGAAGACCAGACGTGCGTGGGCTGTGCACTGACCACTGACCAGTGGGTCTGCACAGCCAGGAGCAGTCGGATCTCGTTCCAGCTCAGCCAGAGGAGGGCTCCTTGGTAAGCTGGGGAGGGTAGGAGCCCCCCCCCCACCTTCCATCCTCACAACAACTCCCCAAGACGGGGACCATGTCGCTACTCTGTAGATGAGGGAAATCCCGAAGCACAGAGCCCTGCTTTGCCCCCCAGGTGTGTCCGATGGCTTCCTCCCTCCCCCATGGCCCTGAACACTGGACAGGAGGGGAAATGGCTGGGATGGGTTCACAAAACTCGGCTCAGGTCCTGGGCTACCTGAGTCATGGCTGGGGACCCCAGGAAGAAGGTGGGTGTTGGGGTGACTGGGAGGAAGCAAAGAAAATGGAGGAAGGCAGGTGAGTCAGAGTCTCCCTTACTGGTGGCCTGGCTGACCTGAGTCTGACCCCTGGGGCTGCTCTGAGATTGATGGGGGCAAAGGATTTCTTCTGAGGACTCAGGAAACCCTAGAGGTTGTTTCTCCAACCCTGTCGGCTCAGTGCTGGGCCCTGCTGGGACACGGAGGCCCTGAGCAGGGAGCGACCAGCCCGGGGAACCAGGATGGGAGACCGAGCAAGAAGATGGCCGGGCCTTTGCTTCCCTGCCCTTGGCTGGAACTCAGTTCATGGCCGCGGAGTGAGGGGAGAAGTGAGAGGTGCTCCCAGGAGTAGGGGTCGAGGAGGGCGTGTTGTTTGACACCAGCTTTGTCATCTTAACAAACCAAGTGGAGACGTGACCACGATGGAGGAGTGTGAACTTCAGTCTCTGTGTTTACACGGGTGGAGGCAAACCTGGAACCTATCGAATCACTAAGACCACACTTCCCTTCCGAAATACCAGCGTCCGAGGGTGTTGGCCTTGACCCTGCCCTCCAAGAGCTGGGTGACACTGGGCAACTCACTTCCCTAAGGATTATTTGTTCCTATCATGCACCCATTTTATTTATTCATTTATTTACTTATTTATTTGTTCGTTATCCTCGCCCGAGGATATGCTTATTAATTACAGAGAGAAAGGAAGGGTGGCGGTGGGCAGGGGGAGAAGCGGTGATGTGAGAGGGAAGCATGGACCAGTTTTCTCCCATCCACACCCCAACCAGGGATCCAACTGAAAATAAGTACGTGCCCTACTTGGAATCGAACCCCCAACCTTTTCGGTGACACTGTCAGCCACCTTAAAAGTTTTGGCTTCAGTCATTTCACATTGACCTGCAGGCTCCCGTGGAAGGGGGACCGTCACCATCTGTCTTCGGGCGTGGTGCCCCCAGCAGCTCCTGGTCTCCCGTGGGTCCGACTGGGTCGTGGCAGCCGCTGCAGTGTTAATTCTTTAGAGGTCCCATCAGTCACACTCTCCCTCCTCGGCTTCCGGGGTGTGTGTCTCCGTTAGCAATGCTTCCACACCTCAGTGTTCGTTTTAACACTTCTTCCCCCACATTTATACTTTGCTCCTTCTGATTTACCTTTAGATTCCTTTGGGATTGATGGATCCATCGATGGATTTTGTGGAAGCTTTTTGATTCTTCTTCCTCTCCCTCTCCTCTTCTGTGTCTCCATCTTCATCTTCCGGCTAATGTGGGACACACTCAGTGGGTGCCCACGGTGGTCAGACCCTCCATGTGTCATCACCGGGGCCTCCCAGGCACCGCCCCGGGCAGCCTCGGGGAGCAGCAGTGGGAGGGGCTGGAGGGACCCGGCAGGAGCCCTAGACCTGGGCTGGCCACCCCGGGGGATGGGAGGCTTCGGAGTGTCCTGCTCAAGGCCCGGCCATCGTCATCCCATTTTAACAGGGGGACCTGTGTTTTTTTTAATGTTCCGCTGTTCCTCTTCCTCCTCATATAAAAATATCTTGACTGCAGGAAGGAGACGGGGAGGTAAATGGAAGCCCCAGAAATGTGACGGAACTGTCAAGAGTACATTAAAGCAGTGGGGTCATGTGTGTGAAATCTGAGCCCCAGTTTTATCTGTTTTCTTTTTTTTTTTGCATCTTTTCTTTTTTTAATATATTTTATTGATTATGTTATTACAACTATCGTGCCATTTTTCTTTTCTTTATTCTCCTCCATGCTGCACCCCTCCCCATCAGCATCGCCCCAACTTAGCTCGTGTCCATGGGTTGTACATCTAAGTTCTTCAGCTTCTCCATTACCCATACTGTTCTTACCCTCCCCCTGTCTACTTGCTACCCAGCATTTATGCTTCTTATCCTCCATACCTTTTCCATCATTCTCCTCTCCCCCTCCCCCCTGATAACCCTCCATGTGATCTCCATTTCTGTGATTATTTCTCATTTAGATACTTGCTTAGTTTTTTTTTTTAGGTTCAATTGTCGATAGCTGTGAGTTTGTTGTCATTTTACTGTTTGCATTTTTGATCTTCTTTTTCTCAGATAAGTCCCTTTAACATTTCATATAATAAGGGCTTGGTGATGATGAACTCCTTTAACTTGACCTTATCTGAGAAGCACTTTATCTGCCCTTCCATTCTAAATGAAAGCTTTGCTGGATAGATCAGTCTTGGATGTAGGTCCTTGCCTTTCATGACTTGGATACTTCTTTCCAGCCCCTTCTTGCTTGCAAGGTTTCTTTTGAGAAATCAGCTGACAGTCTGATGGGAACTCCTTTGTATTGTCTCTCCCTGCCCTCCTCCTCTCTCTAAACATATCCTTGGGTGAGGGTTAAAAAAGACATGAAGGAAGTAAACAGGGCAAAAGGAGAAAGAAACTCATTGTGCCCACCGTACTTCCAAGTTGCTTCCTAAGCATTAGCAGTAGGAGGGGAATGGACTAGTAAGTCACAGGCCTGGTCCTGGCAAAGGGCTGAGCTGACCTACAGCAGAGGGACGGTCCCTTTGAGTGGGAGGGACACACAAAGTGGCCAGGTGGGTAAGATGCAGGCAGGCAAGCAGCCATGTGGTGGGGCACCCGTGCCTGGGCCACTGTGTAGGGACTTGAGAAATAGATCTTCAGGGCCTGCCCCCCTTATCTGTCTGTCCATGGACTGTCAGCCAGAGAGGCCCGGGACAAAGCAATACTGATCTTTTCTATGGTTTTAGTGGGACAATCCTTGGACGGTTCAGAGAAAATGTCATTAGGTGACACATTCACTCAAACCTACAGTGAATTAAGGAGTGGAATGGCTTCATTTGTAATGTACTGTTTTGGGGCTTTGGTTTTGGGCCCCCCCCCCACTTTGTATGCCGATTTGGGAGCTCTGATTGCTTGTTAGAAGAATTACAAGGTTAAATGACATCACATTGTTTATTTCCTATTTCGCATATGGAAGCCCTTCTGTAGGGTATGTAGGTGCCCTTTCCTCCTAAGAAGAAAAGACCTGATTCATCGGGGTCACCGCAGTACCCCCAGCCTAGCTCTGTGTGTGTCGATTCCCCCACATCGACACGTGGAGGAATTTTCGATCTTATTCCTAGAATCAAAACAAGAAGCTCTTCTTGCCCTAAAGGGGCATGAGAAACTAGACAGTTCTTCATTATAATTCTGTCCCAAGCCTAATGTGATGGATAACTACCCATGTGCACAGCGAATGGGGCAGGGGCTGGGAGAGGGGAGGGTTGGCTGCCTGCACATTCCCTGAAATGACTGCCAGGCACCTCCGACCTGGTGTGGTCGTGCACTGCAAGGAAGGATCGGGAACGAGCTTTGCCTATTTCTGTTTCAGCAGCAGAGAAACCCAGGGGAGCAGTGCCTGAGCCTTGAGGGGAAGGGTTAGTAAGAGGGTGACATGCTTGGGTCCTGCGAGAGGAAGAGAGGAAGGGCGGTCCCTGGGTTACCAAGCCACAGGAAGCGCAGTTTGACTTTTCTTCAAGCAGCATTGGTTCTAATGTCTTAAAAGCCAACATTGAGCGTCTACTGGAGCCACAGGCCCCAGCGAAAAGAGCTCACACCGCCACACGTGGTCGGGCAGGGGCTGAGTCTGAATGTCCTAGGGAAAGATCGGGCTTTTCTGTGCGAGGTTGGCCGTGGAAGGGGACCCCTCCAGGAAATAGCTGAGTGCCAACAGCGGGTCCAGCGAGTCTTGGGGAACACTAACGTGAACAGACACAGGGCTGGCAGGGCAGGCTTCTAACGGATGTGCTGTGAAGAAGGCTCGGACTGGGTCAAGGCCAGACTGGACCTGTTCTGCTCTCCTTCAGAGAGTCAGCACTTCAGTTCGCTTGTTATGAAAGAACAAGCAAACTGAAAAAGTCACACACCGTGGGGCCCACCCCACGAAATGTGTGACTTTTCTGAGGGGAAGTCTTATCAAATGTGCTTAGCCCGCTCATCTTGGTTGGCTTTTATGTCATAAGGCTGCAAGAGGGTTTCTTTTTACCTCTTAGGATGCTCAGTGCATTACCAGATTTTTAAGGCAGATTTCTGCCCCACTGGTATTCAAAACAGAATATATACCAGTATGTAAAGAAGTCCAGTGTTAGCAAAAGCTACGGGTGCAGCAGATCTGTTTGTAAGAATTATCCCCTGGATGATAATTACAGGAAAGTAGTTCTAACAGTGCCTAGGACTACCTTTTAGTTTATGGTTAGTGATCTAATGTATAGCACTGGGTGGCTAGTTCTCTTGGTTAGAGCATCATCCAGATACGCTGAGGTCGTGGGTTCGATCTCTGGTCAGGGCACATACGAAATACAAGAAACAACCAATGAATGCACAAATAAGTGGAGCAGTGAAGCGATATTCTTTTCTCTCCTTTTCTCTCCCTCTCCCCCCTTCCTGCCTCCTTTCCCCTCTCTCTCTACAATCAATAGATTACAATTTTAAAAATAGAAAGGTTTTTAGATAGATCTGTTTATTTAAGAAGACAACTGGGAGGTAGAAGGTAGGAGAGGCAGACACCCTCCTGTCCTGTGAGAATAAATGTAAACAGGTACCATTCGTTTGCATGAAAGTGTGGCTTGAGGTATGAAAAATGTTTGTATGCTGATATGCTCTGACCCAGTGGTTCTACTTCTGGAATTATCTTAGGGCAGGGAATCTCAAATGCAGGCAAAGTTTTGTGTAAGAAGAATGTTTTTGCACTCTTTTCATCAAGAATTAGAAAGAAGCTAAGGCCCAGAAGATAGGGGAGGACGGCCAGTGGGACTGGGCACCCTCGGGGGGCCTGGCCCCCGACAGAAGGGCTCAGAGATGGAGCTGGGTCAGCAGGACCCCAGGCCCCTAGGGGACAGGGATCTTGCAGAAGCAAGGAGGGGACAGGCTTTGGGAAGTGACAGCACCAGGATATTTGCCAAGACACAGAGGTGGGCATGCGGCACAAGACAGTTTGGGAGTGAGAAGCATCACTGACGCGCACCAGTGAGCACGTGGTGAATTGGAGAGCAGAGCATGGTCCTCGCAGACGTGGGATCTGGGTCAGAGAGACTGCGGTTCCAGTGCCAGCTCCAGCGCCGCTGTGAAAACTGGCCCTAACTCGAGTTCGGGTGAAAACCTGGGCTTTCTGCTGTTCCCCTCCCTGTCAGATGGGAGCCGCCGTGGGGCCCACCCCACGAAATGTGTGCGAGCCCTTGGTGAAGGGACACTGCTGTAGATCACGGTCAGTGTTGGCTTTACTGATTAGTAACACAAATGTTCCAGCCTCAAGAAGTCTCCAAAACATGCCTTCCCGTCTTTTCTTCTGGGGTCAGTTTTATTGGTCATTCGGATTCATGACTCAGCCGTCTGTCTCCTTGTCTGGTGGTCTTCTCCTTCTGTCCCTACAGGACAACAGGAGTGCGCTGGGGGGAAATGAGCCACTTCTCTGGAAGAGCAGCCGGCAGAGCCCAGCACACAGAGAGACGCGTGGGTTCAGTCCACTTGGCACCTGCGTCCATCCCAGAGGGCACCACCCGGGGCCCGGCCCCTGGCTGCTCCCTGTGGCCGCAGCTGGCTCCCATTCCACCCACACTTTGTTTTCTCTTCCCCAGGGGTGAAGCGCTGCCTCTTTCTAGCCGGGCACAGGAGTGTGAGCTGAAGGGCAAAGCTCCGAGATCCCACCGCTGACACCATGGCCTCGGAAGATGGCAACGTCGACCCAGGTAGTCAGCGTCCTCTTCCCCGGCTGGTTCCTACTCATGACCTAGAACTGAGGGTGGCGCCTCCAGGCTGAGTGTAACCGCACAGGAATCAGGAACCTGGAAGGGGGCTGATGAGGGTCCCGGAGCCCCCAACAGGGCCCAAGGGGAGCTCCCTCATATGAGAACCTGCGGAAGACCCCTCCCTGGTTCTGTCCTCAGGATGCTTACTGCCTCTCTTGCCCTCCCACCCACACAATGATGCAGAAGAGGCCAGGGCAGCCCGTGAGCAGACAGGAGTCCCTGGTCCCCTCTACCTGGAACCTGCTAGTTCCAGATGGAGACCTTCCCTGTCTGCGGCACCTCTACCTGTGCAGCTGTGTTGGGGCCCAGCCCATGCTCCCAGTTATAAACACCTGCTTACCGGTTCGACCGTCTCAGGCAGGAGCTGTTTATATGGATCACGAATGTGCCTACAGAGGTCAGCTTTGCTGTCTCCACCTGCCCCCTGACTGCCCCCACCATCCGTATGTACGAAGAATGAGTACTGATTCCCTCCCTCCAGACCTGGTTTCCTTTCTCCCTGTAAATGGACCAAGGGAAAGAACAAACAGCCCTCCACCCACCTAAATCAGGACTGCGTTGCCTTGGCAACCAAACCACCCTCCCCCAGGAGAAAAATTTCTTGTTGATCTGCAGGGTAAGGGAGGGGAGGACAGATCAGGAGCCAGGAGCTCCCGAGGGGGCTCTGGGATCCCTGAGGGAGGGCTAGAGCTGGCGGATTCCTGAGGATGAACCAGTTGATCCCCTGCTGAAGAAATCAGTGAGCCTGAGGTCACGGGTGCCGATAAGAAGTGTCCCCTGGGACCCACCTGGAGGGGAGAGAGGTGACATTGATTGAGCACAGCGTTAGAGCCGAGGTCCAAACACCTGCTTCCCCAATGACCCCCTTCCAGCCCTGACCCATGTGGTCAGTGGGTTGGGGTCGTCTCAAAAGTGAAAGGTCACAGGTTCAATTCCCTGTCAGGGCACATGCTGGGTTGTGGAATCGGTCCTTGGTCCCTTGTGAGTGAGAGGCGTCTGATTATTGTTTGAGAGAAACATTAATCTCCTTCTCCCTCCCTTCCACTCTCCCTAAAATTAAAGAAATAAAATCTCAGAAAGGAAACGACAGCCCACCTCTGCCCACCCTGGGGATTCTGGGAGCAGCGGGAGGAATCCGGTTAGCAGGGCAGTTTTACTGAAATCAGTGGTGTGTGGTCTGAAACATTTTTTAATTGAAATTAAAAATGTACAGCGCAGAATGAAGAAATCGCATGAATTTTAAACCATAAGGAGGCAGTAAGTTAACGTAAAGGAATGTCTGACATTGGGTTTTGTTTCAGCCGCTGAACTTCCTGCCTGCTGGTGCTGGGCTATCATCACCCGTCAGAGTTTCACTTTCCTTCTCTTGGAATAAGAATAATGTGTCTAGTGTGTCTATAGCAGGAAACACGTTTCGCCTCCCGTCTCTGCACACACAATGCACACACTAGTCCCCCGCCCCTCAGCGGCCACTCCCCGGCCTCCAAATTCCTGAGAGTCACGTGTTTTTGGCAACTCAGCTGGGCAGTCATCTTGCTTGCTCTGCACTGACGAGAGACTCTGTACAGTCGGTACAGGATTTACCCCGTTTAAGGTGAATACACTTGTTTCCCGTCAAAGCAGGAATTCAGTTGTTACGGGGTGCTGCCCAGGCCCTGCTGGAGGTGGTAGGTCACACTCCACGTGTGCCTTGGACTCTCTTTCTGCAAGACCGGCAAGTCTGAATTCCCAAATACACAGAGATTCCAGAAATCAGATAGTCAGTCCGGGAGGCTGGAAGTCCCAGATCACGGTGCTGGCAGGGCTGTTTGCTGGGGAGCACCCTCTTCCTGGTCTGCAAAGGGCGGCTCTGTCCTCAAATGCTCCACGCTTTTCCTGTGTGCATGGGGCAGGGAGGGGGAGGGAGTGTGGGGGAGGGAGAGAGAGGGAGGGTTCCCGTGTGTCTCTGTCTTCCGTAAGCACACCAGTCACATCGGTTTAGGGCTCCACACATATGACCTTGTTTAACCTTAACTGTCTCCTTAAAGGTAATCTCAAAACATAGTCACATGGCGGGTAGGTCCAGGCTTGAAAATAAGGATTTTGGGGACCCAGTTCAGGCCATAACACCACGTGAGCCATCAAATGTACCTTAAGTGAGAGCTGTTCAGGAAGGTTAACTGCTGCAGACCAGCCGCAGCAGGGTCCAGGGGTCCCAAAGGTGGTTAAGGTGTCGGCGATGGGTAACAGACAGCATCACACCTCAAAGGACAGTGAAGCTCTGTTCCGTTTATTGCAAGTACAAGCAGGTTTTTATATTTTCATTTTAGGCAGTGATTAACATTTGCAGTATAGCATGATCAATTAAGCAGAAAAAATCAATACAAAGGTAACCAGGAAAAATACGGAAGTTCCCATAGATTCGGTTATGTTAAACAAAAGTTGTTTTGACCAGGAGAGCCATTAATCAGACAATTAGAAGAAGCTGTATGTACAGAATTTGAATGTCTTAATTGTATATTAAAGTTTCTCAGCATTTATTGTGGGTGGGGCAAAAGGATACGCTAGATTGAGTAGAGGTAATAGGAAATTTATTATAAGGCCTTTGTGATGTCTAACTTAGCTATCTAGCCTTTTCTGTTTAAAACGTTTCTCTGTGTACTATAAACTCTGACTCTTTAGTAACTATTTCTACGTGTTTAGTTTGTAATAGTTAACCACCCCTTTTTTAATTTCTTTGCCTGTCCAGTTGATACATATTCTTATTCAAGGTAAAGGAGGGGCTGTTACTTCAACAATTTCTAAACATTCAGGGACTATTTCATTAGAGGGGACTTTGTTCTCTGGTCAAGAAATTATTTTGTACAACTTCATTGGGATTGTGTGAATCAGTGAACCTGAAATACAGGTGTCTAACAATCCCACCACCTTTTGATCACCCAAACATGTAACTGGTTTTTCTTATTTCTGGTACATCATGGTGGTCCTGATCGCTTTAAGTTGCTCAGACCAGGGTAATTTATACAACTTGACATGTTTTCCCTTGTGGTTAATAATTATATCACCCTGGCTGTTGTACTCCCCTGAATAAGGGAGAGGGGAATCTGTGGGGATTTTACCATCCTTTCAGGCAGTTCCGTGGGGAATACTAATGTTTTCCCCTGAACTGTTCCCTCCTCTTGGGTGACTTTCACAGGAATAAGTAAGTACAGTTCGATGTCTATATTCAGTAGCAAGAGTAAAATAATTAAAATAAAACAGCCAATTGTTAACCCATTTTGGATGCCACGTTCTCTTCCGGGGAGACGAATTCCTTGAACTTGACTCCTCCATGCCCGGACCTTGTCAGACAACATGGTTGGAAGAGGACGTGGCCGTTAACATTTAACTACCTGAGTTCTACTCAATACCATTTACATTCTCCCATGATTTTTTCTCACCTATTCTATTTTCTCTCCATCTAGACAGTGAAGAAATTCTTCCTGCCATTGAGTTTTTACAGGACCCATCGAACATGGAGAATCTGCAGCACCTGCTGAGTGGTGACGCCTGGGAGAGATTTGTGACTGTGGCGCAGTTGTCCAGGTAACCTCCAGGACACACCTGTGTGGTCAGATCTTTCCCCAGACTTACCTGGCTCCGCCAGGCACACCTCTTCGAGGCAGGATCCTGTGGTCGGGGTCGAACGTTTTCTTCTCAACAATCCACGAGGAAGACTTCCTTCACGTCATTAGTAGGCAGTGAATGACTTCAGGTTGCGAAGACAAAACCTGCAGGGGAAGTTTCTTAATGACTCACTATCTTACTCCTCTGTTCAATTCTCTTTAGAGGAAAAGAAGATAATGCATGTAAACATTATCTAGCCTAATGACCGACACATAGTAGGTGCTCAGTTTACAGGAATTTTTTAAAAGATTGTTGGAAAAACACAGAGCCAAGAGTCTTCCTCCTGGAGACCAGAGGCAAGCAGGACTTGCTTGGGGACAAGCCTTCTACATCTTGGTACCTGTGGAGTCCCTGGGGACTTGGCCAGAGGCCTGTCCCTCCCTCAGCGAGGACGTGGACACACACGGCAGGGCCTGCTGGCCCAGGAGGCGGAGAGGCTGGACAGAGCTGGGCCAGGCTGGTTGAATCCTGACTCTGTCTCTGCCCAGCTCTGGGGTCTGGGCTTATTTGTCTGAGAGCCTCTGATTTGTCACCTCTGTCTTCAGTGGGAACAGCAGCTCACGTGATAGGACAGTGGTGAAGGCTGTAGGGTGAAGGCTCACCCTTGACCCCATGTACTGTGGGGTCAAGGGTGAGGCAGCAAGTGCAGTCATCCTGTCCAGGGGCCCAACAGGCCTGCACCAGGCTCAGAGCCAGGGGTCAGGACGCAGCCGGACTGGGTCATGGTTGGAGGACCAGTAGGAAGACTTGGGGAGCAGGGCTGGGACTACGGCTGGTCGGGCACAGACTGGGGAGGCCGGGGGCCTGGTGGTTGTCCTGTGTGTGGGAGGGGACGTTTCTCTCCTCCCTCATTTTATCCCCTCACTGCTGGGAGTAGTGAGCATGGGTGACTCTGTCCTACTCTGCCTGGGAGATGGGGTCCTGCCTGCCATTTGGGACCCTCTTCCATTCTATGTTGTATCATCCCTGACCAGGGTGAAGGCAGAATGTGTGGCTTAGGACAGACTCCAACATCAGAGTGGGTGGCTGCGGATTTTGTGTAACTTGGGGGATTCCAATGCATGCCCTCAACCCTCTGAGTCTGAGGGAAGTGCTTCCTGCTCCACTCGTCCTGATGCAGGTCTCAGGCCCAGCGAGTCATGTTCATGGTCAGCAAAGTGGCCTGTGTCTCTAAGAGGTTCCATGAAGTTGGACACAGCCTTGATGTGCACACAAGGGAAGCTGTCGCCAGCCAAGGTGTGAGTTTGGCTGGTGACACCTGAGAGGTCGGGGGTGCTAGCTGGAGGGATGGAGAGTTCAGGGAACCAAGGTTTGTAGGAGATCCCCCACTTCCCTGTGAACTGGGGCTGTGCTTGGACCCAGTGACCTTCAGTTGGGGAGGTCAAAGGGCACCAGGCTTGGCAGAGAGCAGATGCCACCCAAAATGACCATTAATGTGATTAATTGAAAGTGTCCACAATGGCCACAATGCACATGTGAGGGCACAGTCCCCAGTGCTGCCATCCCTTTTGACACCGCTCAGAGCACTCACTGAAAGCTGTCACACCCACAGTTACAGTTTGTGACAGGGAAGAACACAGGTCACAGCCAGCCACAGGAGAGAAGCCCAGGACAGAGTTAGGGAGGGTGTAAAATGTGAAGCCTCCATCGTCCCCTGACACCTCGCTGTCCCGCATTCAACTGTGACAATGCACATGAAGCACTGCCAGCCAGGGGAGCTCACCCTGGGAAGGAAAAACTGCCCGACCCTTGTGAAGACGCGGCAAGGAAGCTCCCACCCAGGCCGACGGCAGCACCTGTGCGGACTCTTACAACGGAGAGACGGGCTCCACTCTGAATGCAGCAAAGACCGCTGGGGGTTTGGAGCCAAAGAGCAGAGTGGGGGGACAGTGGGTGGGAAATGACTAAGACGGGGTGCCACGGGGCTGGGGGGCTCTTGCTAAGCTCACTTAACAGGGTCCTTGCTACAGGCAGGTCAAGGACTGAGGCACCAGAGTTGGGGGAGGAGCAATTGATCAGATGTCACAGGGTGTCCGTCATCACAGTTGGGAGACTCTCCCTGACCTGACTCGTCAGGATTCTTGCTGGGGTTGCAAGGCACGGGCTGCCAAGGACTGAACATGGAAGGCCAAGGTCAAGGCCTAGCTGAGAAGAGGGCTCAGAAGGGCTCACTGTGCATTTGCAGAGTCTCTCTCCCCCAAGTCTCAGTGCACAGAGGGTTCCTGGGGTGGGTCCCATACTGCCCAAATGGCTGACCTGTGGTGTCCAGCCCCTCCTGGATGTCTAATAAATGTCTTTAGTTTCTAGTTCCTTCTTAGGCCATAACTGACACCACGGAACCCCAAACCCCCGTCCTATGTCACCTTGTCAGACTGCCCAGTGGCCGCATGCCAGGCAAACAAGGGCTCCTATCAGTCAGGACACTCTAGGGACCCAGAGAGCACGTCCCGGTGCCTCAGGTGAAGGGCAGGCCTCTGGGTGGCCGGGTTCCATCTGCACCACAGTCCAGGGATCTGTGAAGGAAGGTGTTTCGGCTCCCACCCCATTCTCCCTCCTTCACCCTTGGAGTTCTCGGTCCCCACCCAGGATGGTGGGGGTGGGGTCATCCTGCCTTTGAGAGAGAAGCCGTCTTCCTCAAACACTGACCACTTCGGGGCATGGTAGGAGGACTTTCCCTTACCTAGCCCTGATCGAACCAGTGCTGTGGAGGGTGTACAAGGGATAAAGTATGTGTTTAATTTTGAAAGAAAAAAATCGCTGTGTTTGTAAAATTATTTCTGTTTAATTTATAGTCAAAGCTCTGTCATGATGCAAGATGGATCTTAGTGAGCCAGTTTGCAGATGTGTAAACTGCCTTTTTCTCACTCACTTGACCTGCATCATTACAGGGAGGATGCAGGTGTGCTATATGAAGACTTGAACCAGCTGAAGAGACTCATGGCCGTGGAGGACGAAGACAAGGACCAGCTGCGTAGGGAGGTGGTGCTGAAGGAGTTTCCTCAGGTGGGACAGGAGCTGGAGGAGTGCATAGGGAAGCTCCACGCGCTGGCAGACAGCGTCGACAAGGTGCACAGGCGCTGTACCATCTCCAACGTGGTGTCCAGTTCCGTTGGCGCTGTGTCTGGCATTCTGACCATCGCTGGCCTGTCCCTGGCACCTGTGACAGCTGGGGCCAGTCTGGCGCTTGCAGCAACTGGGGCAGGACTGGGGGCAGCAGCTGTCGTGACCGGTGTGTCCACCAGCATTGTGGAAATTGCAAAGAACAAGTCAGCAAAAGCCACAGCCAGTCACCTAGTGTCAGATGCCATCAACAACAATGATGAGCTGGTCATTGAGCGTTTATGTCACAGCGCACCCAGAATTGCTTCCTTAGTAAAGTGCATCCAATCCATGCATAAAATTGTGAAGAACGCCCGTGCCTACAAACTGGCCAAAGCCAGCCCTCTCTTAATGTCGAAGGCCAAGGTTTTTATGACCACAGGGGAGATCTCAATCCAAAGCAGCAAGCGGGTACAGAAAGCTTTTAGTGGCACCGCTCTGGCAATGAGCAAAGGAGCCAGGGTGTTTGGTTTGGTCACTGCAAGTGCCTTCCTTCTGGCAGATGTGTACACCATTGTGAAGGAGTCAAAGCACTTGCTTGAGGGGTCAAAGGCAGAGCTGGCTGAAGAATTGAGGGAGCAGGCCCTGGGGCTGGAGAGGAGGCTGAAGGAACTCAGACGGCTTCACGGGAATCTGCAGGATGTCATGTACTGCAAGGATGTAGTGAGCGAAAAGTGTGGCTAAGCCGCACCAGCCAGGGCTATAGAAACACTTGTAGATTCCCCCCAGTGCATGTAAGGCAACGTCCCCGCGGGCTTTCGTCCTTCTACACACGCATGGGGAACTGGAAGATTTCTGAGATGAAGATCTGGCAGCTTCCAACTTTCGGAGAGTATCATCATTGTCCCCTGATTTCCAGAGGCTTGGCCTTTATCTGCTTTTAGAAATTTTGATTTTCTTTATGTGGATGTTTTTCATCTATTAAAATCCCGTGGGAATACACCCCGAAGTGCCTTCCTGAAGTACATTGTTAGAGTTCTCCCTCCATGTGTCACAGGGGAGTCCACAGGAAGGAACCTGAGACCTGGCCAGGGAAGATAGGTCCCTGGTTGCCAGGGAACACCTTTTAACACTTAGGTGGCCGATAGGCATGAGGGGCCACAAGGGAGATAAAGACAAGGCCCTGGCCATTGCAGTCCAACAAAGAACTTCAAACAGGAGGCCACAAGCGAAGGAAGACACGTCTCGCCCGTGACCCAGCCGTCCTGAGCCTGGTTCCATCAGGCTGCCAGGCACTGGGAGCAACACACAGAGACTGTGACAGTGGGGAGGGGGAGCCCTCGAAAGTCTGTGTGCGTCATCTTTAGTGGGCAAAGGAAAACCTCGAGGCTGTGGATCCGCCCCAGGCCTAGAAGGGAGTAGGGGAGGGGTCTGAGGTGTCCAAAGAAAGGGCCCAGAAACCATTTTGGCTCATTGTCTGCCCCCTGTCACGTGTGCCAAATGAACAAATGGAGTCAGGAGCAAGATAAGATTTCGGGCTAACAGACCCCCACACGTACCTACGTCTGGGCAGTCCCATCTCTCTGGGAAAGCTGCACCTGTACCCGCCAATCAAAAGTTGCCTCTTCACCCCGCCCTGCCCACTGTGTAAGTCCTCAGAACAGAGGGCCTTCTTCTCTTCTCTCGGCTCAAGGCTCGTTGCCACATGGGAGCCTCTGTCCACAAAACTCCTGGCAACCCCTCTTTTGGCCACCTGGGCCTTTGGCCACCTTGCTCTAGCCACCCTTGTTTTGCTCCCCCACTCACTAATTAACTTTGTTTGTACACTAACGGGTCCACAGACCTGTCATCCTTTTTTGAAATATATTTTATTGATTATGCTCTTACAGTTATCCCATTTCCTTGCCTTTATTCCCCTCCGCCCTGCACACCCCCTCCCACCCACTTCCCCTCCTTTAGTTATGTCCATGGGTCATACATATAAGTTCTTTGGCTTCTATATTTTCTATATTATTCTTAACCTCCCCCTGTCTATTTTCTACCTACCATTTACGCTACTTATTCTCTGTACCTTTTTCCCACCTCTCTCCCACTCCCACTCCCCTGTTGATAACCCTCCATGTGATCTCCATTTCTGTGGTTCTGTTCCTCTTCTAGTTGTTTACTTAGTTTGCTTTTGTTTTTGTTTTAGGTGTGGTTGTGAATAACTGAGTTTCCTGTCATTGTACTGTTGACATTTTTAATATTCTTTTTCTAAGTCCCTTTAACATTTCATATAACAGGGCTTGGTGATGATGAACTCCTTTACTCTGACCTTATCTGAGAAGCACTTTATCTGCCCTTCCATTCTAAATGAAAACTTTGCTGGATAGAGTAATCTTGGATGTAGGTCCTTGCGTTTCATGACTTGGAATACTTCTTTCCAGCCCCTTCTTGCCTGTAAGGTCTCTTTTGAGAAATCAGCTGACAGTCTGATGGGAACTCCTTTGTAGGTGACTGTCTTTTCTCCTGCTGCTTCTAAGATTCTCTCCTTATTTTTAATCTTGGGTAATGTAATTATGGTATGCTTTGGTGTGTTCCTCCTTGGGTCCAACTTCTTGGGGACTCTCTGAGCTTCCTAGACTTCCTGGAAGTCTATTTCCTTTGCCAGATTGGGGAAATTCTCCTTTATTATTTGTTCAAATAAGTCTTCCACTGGTGGCTGTTTCTTTCCCCCTTCTGGTACCCCTACAATTCGGATGTTGGAACATTTAAAGATGTCCTGGAGGTTCCTAAGCCTCTCCTCATTTTTTTGAATTCTTGTTTCTTCATTCTGTTTTGGTCGAATGTTTATTTCTTCCTTTTGTTCCAAATCATTGATTTGAGTCCTGGTTTCCTTCCCATCACTACTGGTTCCCTGTACATTTTTCTTCATTTCACTTAGTATTGCCTTCATTTTTCATCTAATTTGCAACCAAATTCAACCAATTCTGTGAGCATCCTGATTACCAGTGTTTTGAACTATGCATCTGATAGGTTAACTATCTCTTCATCACTTAGTTGTATTTGTTCTGGAGCTTTGCTCTGTTCTTTCATTTGGGCCATTTTTTTTTTTTTTTTGTCTCTCTGCACCTCTTACATAGTAAGGGGCGGGGCCTTAGGTGTTCACCAGGGCGGGGCGACCCACATCGCTGTGCTGTGTCGCTGTACTTGGAGGGGGGAGTCCAAGAGGGAACAGTGGTGCTTGCTCCACTCTCTGCTGAATCTCAGTCACTTCCCCTGCTACCCACAACCTAATGGGCCCTTCTGGTGCTGATTCCTAGCGGGTGGGCTCGTGTACATTCTAGGACCCTGTGGGTCTCTCCAGTGAACTCTCCTGTGAGGCTGGGAGTTTTTCCCGCTGCTGCCTCAACCCCCACAGGTGTTTTCGGTCAGAGGTTTGAGACTTTATTTCCCAGCTGGGACCCCGGGTTGCACGGCCTGTCTCGCTCCCCAGGTGTTCCTCCCAGTTTATCCGCACGTGAGTGTGGGACTGCCCAGTCCACGAGCCGCCACCTTGCCGGCCAGCTGCAGCCTTGCCTGCCCCAGCCCACAATCCACTGCCTTGCTGGGTCCTCCGCTGCCACTGTGCTCCTGGTCCTCTCCGTCCGGCTGCCCATCTCCCATCCCTGGGCTGGTGGAGCTGAACAGTGTGATGGGTCTCTCACCCAGTCTGAGAGCAAGTGCAGCAAGCTCACCAAGGACTTCTCCACTTTGGGGTCCCAGCTGCAGGACATGCAGGTAAGGGCGGCACCAGGGCTGCACAGCTGGACTTTCTTCGGAAGGTGCAGTGCCTAGGTGGCACCCCCTACCAGACCTCTGGGTGTTCCATTGCGGGGCTGCTCTGATTTCACATGTTCCCCTGCATCCACGGGAATTCAGGGTCCCCTGGGCCTCCACCAGGTCTTCACCCACTGTGCCCTGAGTCAGGGGGACCAGCTGCTTCCTCCCGCCAATGGTGGGGGCCATGAGGCTCTGACCCTCGACGTCCTGAGCAGCTGCATAGGGAGAGGCTTAGGAAGGAGCTCCCTCAGGCGAAACAGGAGCGTGAGGAGCACACAGGGAAGCTCTGCCCCTGGCAGACAAGGGTGACGAGGTGGATGGGGAGCGTCCCATCCAAAGTGGTGGCCAGTTCCACCAGAGCCGTGTCTGGCATTCTCACCGTTGTGTGCTGTCCCTGGCACCCTCGACAGCAGAGGCCAGTGTGGCGTTTACGGCAACTGGGAGGGGGTCGGGTTTAGCAGCTTCTGTGACCAGAGCACCTACCAGCATCGTGGGACACTCAAAGAACACATCAGTGGAAGCAGATGCCATCTGTCTAGTGTCAACTGGCGACAGCAAAGGGAACACGGCCTCAGTGCTCCACGTCCCCGCACGGTCAGTCCCCGCTGGGCACTGGGGGGGAACGCCCGTGCTGGCAAACTGGCCAAAGCAGCTCCTCTGAGCAGCAGCTCGGGCCCGTGTTCTCATGACCAGTGGGATGATGTCAGCCCAAAGAAGCCAGCAGCTGCAGAAAGCTTTGGGGGCACTGCCCTGGCAATGACCAAAGGCGCCAGGTCTTTGGTTTGGTCACTGCCGGTGTCTCCCTTCTGGTGGGTGCGATCAGCCTTGGGAAGGAGTCAAACCACTGGCTGAGGGGCAAAGGCAGTTGTCGGCTGAGGAGCTGAGGCCGCAGGCCCAGGGGCTGGAGAGGAGGCTCAAGGAACTCAGCTGGACTCCCAGGATTCTGCAGGGAGGCCTGACTCTGTGACCCCCAGACAGTCAGGGAGCAGGGGCGCGTGTGGGACAAAGGCGCAGAGGTGGCTTGTTAGAGGGAAGGAGAGGGCACGATAACATTTATGGAACTGGGCGCTGAGTTCAGTATTGCTAGGGATGAACACAGCAAGGGGAGGGTTAATGCAGATGGCAGGTGGATCACAGAGAAGAAAGGAACGTGGAGCCTGGAATAAGGGAAAAGAAGGGACAAGAGGGCGAGGGAATGGGGAGGAACATTATTTTGGACTAAAGAAGACAGGGGGGGTTGTGAATGAAGAGAGAGAAGCGGAGAAGCAAGCAATGAGAAGGCCAGAAATACTAACAAGTTTAAAATGAAGAAAGCAGGAGAGTGGGAAGAGCTGACATTTGGAAGCAACAGGGGATCATCTCTTGACCCTCCCATGGTCCGCGGTCCCCGGAGGAATGGGGTCTTCCCCTGGGGGTGGTCTCCAGACCTGCTTTCCAGTATGAACTCACCGTTGTCTTCCAGCAGGTCTATCTTAGCTAGGCAGCAACTTCTTTTTTAAATAATATTTTATTATTTTTATGTTTCAGTTATTGCAATAATATAACATTATATTAGTTTCAAGAGCCCAAGACAGTGATTAACAATTTACATAACTTAAAAAGCGATTCCCTGGTAACCCTTGTACCCATCTGACACCATACACCATTATCACAATGCTGTTCACTGTAAGCAGTGACTTGCTGGTGCAGAATGGGATGCTGGCGGTGGTGGCAATGACAGCAGAGTGGGTGAAACTTTTGACAAGTTGCTGGCGCTCTTTGTCTGGGGAGCTCAGAGAGACCAGTGACGTCCCCATGAACCTTCAAGTGCTGTGTTGGAACAGTGGTTGATTTTTTTAAAAAGAAAGAACAGTGAAACCAGATGCCAGTGACAGGTCAAGGAGCCCCTCAGTGTGTCTGGGACATCTGTGACCTCAGAGAGGCCATGGACACAGCCTGTCCAAGCCTCAGCCTCATCAGCTGCGGGGTGTGGGGGCTGTGCCCGGTGATATTTCCGATCAGCCTGGCTCTCCCCACCTTGTGCTCGGTCAACTTCGGTCCCATAAACCTGCACGGACACACGCAACCTTTGTCGTGTTGACTGGTGGGCTCGTTGCGGATCTGAATGCCTGACTTCTTCCCACCTGAGCCTGTCCCCCAGGATCTCAGGGGACAAACCTTCCATTGCTCCTCCTGCTCGCTCACTGGGCTCCCACTCTCCCATGCAGTCATGTCCCTGAGATCTTGGGACCCCGAAAGTCCCACTGGGACACCTTGGGGAAGCTTGCGCACATCTGGCTTGGACTAAGCACAGGCGTGTGCATCACCCAGCCGCTGGAACCCCGGAGTGACTGTGGCACAGGAGGCTGACTGACAGGAAGGACTGTTTGCAGTATGAGGGAGGGTTATTGAACAATAGAGGACAGAGAGAGACTGCCAGACAGACAGCAAGCATCCTCTCCAAGAGACCTCCTGCAAGAGCTTCCAGAATGGTCTCCTGTGTTGGGCCTTGAGGCCCACCCTGGCCTTGCTCCCGAGCCCATTCTCCGCACTGAGCCAGAACAGCCCTCAGGAAAACAGACCTTATCAAACACCTGCTTCCAGCTTCTCAATGGCTTCCCTTTGCTCCATACAACAGCTAGAAGCCTCCACACAGCCTAATGTAACCCGTGTTAGCTTGGGGTTCCCTGAGTGTCTAGCTGGAGGCAAAGCTCAATGAGAGAGGATTTATTTGGGACTGAGGGACCCAGGGAAGCGAAGCAGAGAGGGAGGGAAAGTTGATATAAGACATGATCTTACTTTGGTCGCCTGTGTGGGTGACTGAGTCTGCAGACCTTCCCTGAACCTCCATGGAGTGGCCTCAGATTCAAACTCTGCTGGGAGAAATGAGAGCAGCATCTGACCTTTGCTCCTATCACCCTCGGGCTTGTTTCCATGGCCACTGAGTCTGTATTTCCTTGTGTGGAGCACGTGAGGGCCAAACTGGCTTCCAGGACTGGGGCCTGGGCAGGGAGCAAGAGACACAGGACGTGCACAATGACCCCTGACAATTCCTAAGCCACTCACCGAGGGTGTGCAGTGCAGTCTACGTCCTTTTGGATGTACTGCCCCATGGGAGCCTTTTCTCAGTCCCTCGAACTCCCTGTGAGCCAACGTTATTGAGACCTTCAGTCGATTCTTCCATTTGTTCCTGGAGCCCGCCCACTGGCCAGGCCCTGAGCAAGGTGCTTCCCTTCTCTGTCATTCTCCATCAGTTCTTGGTCCGCTCTCACGTTTGCACAGATGCACCTGGGCATTTGCTGGAGCATTTCAGGCACTGGGTAAGCGAGCCACTCAGCAGTCCCTCAACCCTGCCCCTGAAGCCTCACAGTGGAAATGCACTTGGCTAAATGTGCATTCGAGGCAACTCCACTGTAGGACTGTGTCAGTTGGGTCCCTTTGGTTATAAGCACCAGAGACTGAGTCTGGCCAACAAACACAAAGGAGTGTCTGTGGGAAGGGAGCTAGGGTTCAGAGGATGACAAGGAGCCCAGAACCTACACTTCAGGAGGGACAGGCCCGGGCAGAGCCAATGTCAGGAGCTTGTGTCGGTGTTCTGGGGTCCCTGCCTTCAGGTGTCTTAGGTCCAAACACCTAGACCCTAGTGTTTCTGAGTCAAGTTTCAAGTTCTCAGCAGAGAGAATAGCGTGGGTCAGGTGACTGGATCTTTGGACCAATCAGTCAGGCCAAGGGATGAGGAAGAAGAATGGGGAATAGGGACAGAAACCCTGGGGGGAGGTCTCAGGTCAAGAGGCCCCCTGACTTTGTGCTGTGGTCCCTCATCCCTAGGAGCTGCTGCGGCAGCGGGACCAGCAGAAGCAGGGCCTGAGCACCAAGCTGCAGCAGGTGGAAGAGGAGAAGAATTCCCTGAAGGAGCAGCTGGAGGAGTGCGAGGAGGAGGCCAAGTACAACCTGGAGAGGCAGGTTGCCACCCTGCTGGCCCAGGTTCAGTGCTGGCTGCCCCAGAAGATCCCCGCACTGCCGGGTGGCTCAGGGACACTGGTCAGATTCTGCAGGCTGGGTCCACCCTGGCCAGCTTGAGCTGGACGCCCTTCCTCAGGGACTTTCTATCATCTCCAGCCCAGGATTCCTAGCCCTGGGCCCCTAGGTAGGATTCAAGAATCCGTGAACTTGGAGGGAAGAGACTGAAATCCTTATCATCACCAGTGTCCAGCTGACACCTGGTGTTTCCTTCCTGATGAATGTTGACAAGTCATGGTGTTAGGAGACAGGGACTGGGCCCTGGGTGGGTCTGCCCAGGCCCCACTGTAGCGTGTGGGTTCTGGACTTCATGTAGGAAAGATGTCACAACAGGAGTCCAAGGGACTATGAGGACACACATGAAACAAGGAAGGGCTTAGCATAGAAGATCAACAAGAGAGCCGAGGCTGGGTGGCCTTAAGCCACTGGGAAGTCAGAGAAAAGGGGGCTTTAGGGACAGGTTCAGGGTAAAGCCTGAGTCAAGCTGCCAGAGGCCTGTTGCCTTAGTGTTCAGGAGACAAGAGCTGAGAGGAGAAGAAAGGAAAGGGATGGCAGGCACTGGGCCCTTGGGTCGAGGTTTTATCTCTCCTTTGCGGGTGGAAATCCTCGGGGAGGCCTCGGGAGGGTTTCAGTAGCACAATCGCCAGTTCTCCAGGTGTGACTTTCAGCGTCATGGTCTCCCGTGATTACTCACTGCAGTTGGTTCTGGCCATCGCTCACCTGGTCTGGCTGCTTTTCTGGGCCTGAAAATGAAATAAACTGAAATCTGGATATTCTCTCCAGGGAAGAAGAGGCCAGGGGAGGAGAGGTTACCCTGGAGATGCGGTCCTTTGGCCCCCCAGGTTTGGTCCCTGCCAGGCACTGGGGGCCTTCTGCCTGGTGACCGTCTGCACCTGGCTGTACACTGCTCGGGTGCTATGTTTGGCCGGCCGCTTCAGTTTTCTCATTCCACGGTTTCCCTGGGGCGCCTGCTGCGGCTGATGGGGCCAAGGGTTTCTTCTGAGATTTCAGGAGTCTGAGAGGTTGTTTCTCCCACCCTGTCAGCTCAGTGCTGGGTCTTGTGGGGAAACGAGGCCCTGAGCAGGGAGTGACTTATCCCAGCGCCATGATGAGGATATGCCTTCTAGATTCAAACTGAATCTAAGATAAACCAGTCTGGGGCTCCAGCTGCCTGTCACCACTCAGGGGAAAAAGCGGAGACAGGGACTGGATTATGATGGTGCTTTTGGGGAACGTGAGGGAGGACGCGAGGGCAGGGGTCTGGGAACCAGCCCACGGGGAGGAGGGGGAATATGCTCAGGATCCCACAGTCCGTCAGGGGCAGGTCTTCCTCCCTGAAGCTGGAGGCAGGGCGGGCTGGGCCAGGAAGGCCCTGGGCTGGGACCAGTGTAGGGCGGAGCCAATGGGTGATATGTTCGGTCATGAGCTTCTCAGAATTGTGGCTTTTGTTTCACTTTTGCTTCCCAGGACCTTGGGATTCAGAAGTTGGTTTTGTGCCCAGGAACAGATGGCCAGTGGATCTGCACGGCTAAGAGCACCTGGATCTCGTTCCAGCTCAGCCAGAGGAGGGCTCCTTGGTAAGCTGGGGAGGGTAGGAGCCCCCACCCACCTGTTCTCACAACCCCCTGAGACAGGGACTCTTGTCACTCTTCTAGAGATGAGGGGAAACCGGAGCTCCGGGAGGTTAGGGAAACAGCCCAGGGCACACTTAGCGGTGCCAGAGCCAGGGTCTGCGCCCAGGTGTGTCCGACGGCTTCCTTCCTCCCCTGTGGCCCCGAACGGTGGAGCAGGAGGGGGAAATACCTCCGATGGGTTCACAAAACTCCCCCCAGCGCAGCTCAGGACCTGGGCTACCTGAGACATGGGCCAGGGACCCTAGAAAGAAGATGGATGTTGGGGTGCGTTACTCAAAGCAGAGGTGGAGGAGGGCAGGAGGTGTCCTGGTGGCCTGGCTGCCGCTGCCTCAGGCCAGGCCTGATGCCGAGGCTGATGGGGGCCAAGGATTTCTTTTGAGATTTCGGGAATCTTTTTTTTTTTTTTTTAATTTTAATTAATTTTATTTAGTTATTTTTCAAGTACAGTTTTTTTTGTCTATTTCTCCCATCCCAGCCTCCCCCGCCCCTTGCTCCCCACCTCCCTCCCATTTCCACCCCCCTTAGTTCTCATCCTGTGTCCTTCCTATTTGTTCCTCCAAATCCCTCCCCCTTTTTCCCCTTAAGTTCCCTTCCTTCTCCGCTCTGGTCACTGTCCCCTTGTTCTCTATTTCAGTGTTAGATTTCGGGAATCTGAGAGGTCATTTCTCCCACCCTGTCAGGGCAGTGCTGGGCCCTGTGGGGACACTGGGGCCCTGATGGGGCGGGGGTGGGGGATGTGTGTGTGACTTGCCCGGGTGCCAGGATGGAGACCGAGCAGGAAGATGGCCGGGCTTGGCTCCCCACCCTTGGCTGGCCCTCAGTTTGAAACCAGAGGGCAACCAAGTCCAGACTCCTGCTCTGGTGTCACTGCTCAGCCAGAGAGCAGAGGCAAGGCCAGGGTTAAAATTGTGCTTTTACTGATATCAGGTGCCAGCAATCTGAGAAGTTGGCAGGTAAAAACCCTACCATCCACCTTCCCTTGAGCTTTCAGAAGCAAAGTTTATATAGGGTAAATGTGGGAATTGGGGGGGTATTTCAAGGGGGAGCACAGAGATGCTGCTTCTCCTGGGAGTCTGGGGAGGCGGCGCTGAAAGGGGAGTCACTCAGCTTCTTGCTAAGCTCACTCCCTTTGCAGCAGAACCCTGTGGGTTCTGTCACTCTGGGCTCTAATGTTTGCCGCCGATAAAACTGTGGCTTCCAATGCCAGAGTTTGGTAAAAAGGAAAGCACTTATTTAATGAAAAGTTGTATAGGTTTAGAGTAATGGTGGAATTTGCTGCTCAGTCTCACTCCCTTTGAACGCCCACAGACACACACAGTCCAGCCTCTCCATGCACCCCCTGCCTTTTCCCCAGTCAGGCCTGTCTCAGAGCATGCCAGTCAGAGGTACCAACTTTCGGAAAGAAAAAAGGAAAAACAAAAAACGGAAGTCCGGGGCTCACTCCCAGTTGTCTGTGTTCAGCTGGGCGGGTGTCCTGAGGTTCCCAGCACCAGCAGGCATGTTGCTAGGATCTCCGGTTCTTAATCCAACACCCAGTGGCTCTACCTCATGGCTGTCCAGCGAGGGTCCTTCCACTCCCTGTTGAACCACATGGTCCCACAGGGTCTCGCATTGTCCTGCTGCACATGACTGTTTGCCTTTTAGTTTAAACCCGGCCTGGACCCTCCTCCATAACCCCATTTCCGACTCCTCCCACAATCGGCTACATCCACCACACCCCCATATTTTCCGCCTTTTCCGGCTGCCATTGTTAGCCTGGCAGGCGTGGTCTGGGTGGTGCAGAGTAAGCTGTCTGCGGTTCTCACGCAGGTGCTGTAACCTGGACAACCGCATTCCAGCTACATCACAGGTCAAAGTGAGGCCCGCCCCCTGGCCTACACAAAGTATCAGCATTGCAGTGAAGCCAACCTCCTGGTACTGCTATGCAAAGTGGCTCAACAGCGGGCTCCACATTCCCATGCCCCAGCCAAGCTCGTGGGGGACGTCCTGTATCCCTGGACCCTCCAGGTTCTGGACCTCGTTCCACACCTGCTACAGTTGCCCCTTGTTCCAGCATTACTTCCCCATCTGCCTTAACATTCCCTCTCCCCCCGACACCTGGGGTTTATGGCCCTTGAAGGTCTGTGTTTTCTGGTTGGGGAGACAAGGTAAAACCATTCACTCGATGTGAGAGAGAAGCATAGATCAGTTGCCTCCTGTATGCGCCTAGACCAGGGATCGAGCCTGCAACCTTTTTTGCTGAGGGACGACACTGTCACCCGTGATAAAATTTTGGCATCAGTCATTTCACATTGACCTGCAGGCTCCTGCGGGTGGGGGTCAGTCACCTTCGATGTATGTACATGTCGCACACAGTGGCCCGTGGGTCTGACTGGGTTGTGGCAGCCGCTGCAGTGTTAAATGTTTAGAGGTCCCATCAATCAAACTGTCCTTTTGTGGCATCTGGGATTTGTGTCTCGATTAGGAATGTTTCCGCAGCTCAGGATTAATTTGAACATTTCTTCCCCCACATTTACAGTTTATTCCTTCTGCTTTAAATGAAGATCGCTTTGGGATCGACTGTGTGAGTTACTGGTTGATTTTTTTAGAACTTTTGTTGTTGCTTCTTCCTTTCCTCCTCCTCTTCTTTGTCTCCATCTTCCTCTTCTTCCTCACGCAGGACATAATGGATAGGTTACGACAGCGGCCAAAAGGAACGCAATTCACTGCTGTGCCTCACGGGGGCCTCTCAGGCAGTGAGCGCAGTCCTGGCGACATTAGTGAGCCACAGCGGTGGTGCAGCACACCCGATGCTGTTCTGGGACAGCTCTGGGTTTGATTGCCCGCCTCCAGGAAGCATGACTCCCAGAGCAAGAGAAGGGCTTATTTATTTAAAGTTGATGCAGGTTTTGAATGACGGCAGATTTCTGCCCTTAAGTCCCACTCCCTTGAAAACACCTTACAACACATAACCCTGCCTTCCTTTGCCAAACCAGACCAGGTTCAGAACACACCAGTCAGAGGTAGCATTGTCCAGAACAGCAGGAGTCTGCAGCACAGCATTCTGGGTCACAGTTCAGCTCCGAGCACCCCTCGCGAACCGGTGCTTGGTTTCACAGGTCCCCGCCCAGCTCCATCTGGTCTGCTGCAGTCCTCTCCGTGTTAATGCAGACCCCGTGGACTGCTCTTACTCCAAACCGTGTGGCTTCCCCCTCACATGCCAGGCATTGTAGCCAACTCCCCTCCACACCCTGTCAGACCCCGTGCCTTCCTCTTCCTCTCTTTCAGCACGCCCTCCTTTAAATACTGGGCCAGGAACTTCCTGTGTGACCTTATATCTGGCCCCTCCCATGATGTGCCATTTTTGCCATCCCCCCCCCCCCGTGTTTTTTTCACCTTCTTTCAGCTGCTATCTCCAGTCTGAGCTAGAGTTCAGGGCTGCGGGAAATATGCTCTGCTATTTTGGGAGACCCCACTCTGCACCCCATTACAGCAGGGGGCTGGAGGGACCCGGGCAGGAGCCCCAGACCTGGACTGGCCACTCCGGGGGACAGGAGGCTTCGGAGTGTCCTGCTCAAGGCCTGGCCATTGTCATCACATTTTAACAGGGGGACCCGTGTTGTTTTTTGTGTTCCGCTGTTCCTCTTCCTCCTCATATAAAAATATCTTGGCTACAGGAAGGAGACAGGGAGATAAATGGAAGCCCCAGAAATGTGACGGAACTGTCAAGAGTACATTAAAGCAGTGGGGTCGTGTGTGTGAAATCTGAGTCCCAGTTTTATCTGTTTTCTGCCAGAAAGAGCTTTTCATTGAGATGGACAGGAAAAACAAATGGAATTTCTCAACTGCCAGGGAAACTGGTTGCTCTAAGTCCTACTGATGGGACTCACCTGGGGACTGAGCTTGGCCTTGCCGGGGGGGGGGGGGGACAGAGGGGCAGGGACAGGAGGGGCCGCAGGGAGTAGACAGGCCCCGTGTCTGCAGATGCAGTCGGTACACACTGCACACCTCGAAGGGCGTCGGGAAGAATGTGAGTTATTATACGTGAGGTTACAGCATTGTGGGGGCAGAGCAAAGACCGCACACATTGTTAGTCTCCCTTCTCATTAGCTGTTATTCTGCCTATGAGTCCCTTTGCTTTTGAGTCAGGCAGGTGTCAGGAGGGGTTGATAAATGCTGTTTGCCCTTCTTAAAAAAATGCCTAAACTTAATCGAACTTTGCTTGCTTCCCTCATCTCCTAAAGCAAGATAGTCACAGAACCGAGAGAAATCCTCTCTGGAAAGATCCGATTCACAGACACCCTCATATCCTATGAGAATAAATGTAAATTGGTACCATTTGCAGAAACATGTGGCTCAAGGTACAAAAGAATGTTTATATGTTGATACGCTCTGACCCAGTCATTCAACTTCTAGGATTATATTAAGGGAAACAGTCTAAATGCTGGCAAAGTTTTATGCAAGAAGACAGTTTTTACACTATTTTCATCAAGAGTTATAAAGAAAGTAAGACTCAGCATCTGGGGGAGTATAACTGAGGGGACTGGGCACCCTCAGGACGGTTTGGTTTCGGACAGCAGGGCTCGGGGATGGGGCCAGGGTGACAGGACACCAGGCCCCTGCGGCAGGGGTCCCCAGTCTCAGCAGGAGGTGAGTGGTGGGTGAGGGAGTGTAGATTTATCAGTACTTACAGCCACTCCGAATGACTCCCATCACCGTCTGAGCTCTGCCTCCTGCCAGATCAACGGTGGCATGACAGTCTCATAGCAGCACAAGCCCTACTGTGAGCTGCACGTGCGAGGGACCTAAGCTGCACGCTCCTCACGAGAATCTAATGCCTGATGACCAAGGTGGAGCTGAGGCGGGGATGCCAGTGCTGGGGTGCGGCCGCAAATACAGGTTATCATCAGCAGAGAGGTTGGACTGTGCAGAGACCGTAATAAACCAATTGCGTTTAGATGCATATTAAAACCCTATCAGTGAGTTGGGCAAGTGACAGTTATGCTGCACCTGGCGGCAGGCTTTACAGTGGCCAGTGAGTTGACATACTTCAGCTGTACAGCCGCACCTGGTGTCAGGCTTTAAGTCAGAATCCAACACTTATTTTAGTCTGTGGGTGGCTCATCATTCATTCACCGCTTCTGTCTGCACTAGTTTCCCACACTGCAGAAGTTTGGGTAGCCTGCGTGCTAACCACAGCATGTGGTGAGTGACGCACTTACCTCCTTATATATTACAATGTAATAATAATAGAAATAAAGTGCACAATAAATGTAATGCACTTGAATCATCCTGAAACCATCCGACGTCCGCCACCCCACCCCCAGGTCCACGGAAAAATTGTCTTCCATGAAAACAGGTCGCTGGTGCCGAAAAGGTTTTGGACCACTGCCTTAGCAGACGAGGCTCTTTCAGAATTAAGGAGGGTGCAGTCTTCGGGAAGCAACAGCACCAGGAAATTTACCAAGAGAGAGACGTGGGCGTAGGGTGCGAGACTGTTTCGAAAGGAGAGGCGTCACTGACAGATGCACATAGTGATCATTTTGGTCTATTAAGAGTAGAGCGTGGTCTTCAAAAGTCCTCATCATCCCAAAAGACAGCTCCTGGAAGAAATCTGTGGCCGAGGCCCGTGTGCCCAGGTAACCGCTGGGAGACGCCCCTGTTGTCACCCAGATCCCCCCCTGATCTAGCTGCTTCTGCCAGGCACACCTCCTCCAGGCAGGATCCTGTGGTTGGGGTTGAATATCCTCTCAACAACCTATAAGGAAGACTTCCTTCATGTCATTCCTTGGCAGTGAATGGCCTCAGACTGAGAAGAGATGGACCCCCAGGAAGACAGTTACCTAACCACTCTCTGTCTTACTCATCTGTTCAATATTTTGGTGAGGAAAATAAGATGATGTATTTAATTTGTTTACCCTAAGGACTGATACATAGTAGGTGCTCAGTTAACACGAACTTTTAAAAAGATAGTTGGGAAAAGACGGGAATTAAGAGTCTTCCTCCTGGAGACCAGAGGCAAGCAGGACTTGCTTGGGGACAAGCCTTCTACATCCTGGTACCTGTGGAGTCCCTGGGGACTTGGCCAGAGGGCTGTCCCTCCCTCAGTGAGGATGTGGACACACACGGCAGGGCCTGCTGGCCCAGGAGGCGGAGAGGCTGGACGGAGCTGGGCCGGGCTGGTTGAATCCTGACTCTGTCTCTGCCCAGCTCTGGGGTCTGGGCTTATATGTCTTAGAGGCGCTGATTTGTCACCTCTGTCTTCAGTGGGAACAGCAGGTCATGTGATAGGATGGTGGTGAAGGCTGTAGGGTGCACTGTGGGGTCAAGGGAGAGGGACCAAGTGCAGTCATCCTGTCCAGAGGCCAAGTTCATGAACATTTGGCTATCTGGTTTTTAATAACTATGCAGATGGCTGCTATAAAAACTAGCCTGCAGGTCTTTGTTCGCCTTTTCATTACTCTTGGGCAAATCCCTGCCAGTGGGATCGATAGGTCACACAGTAAATACACGATTGACTTTATGACGACCAAACTGGTGTCCGAAGTGGTTGAAACATTTTACATTCCAGCAACAGATGATAAGTCCAGTTGCTCTGCATCCTCATTGACACTTGACATTGAGAGTTTTACCTTTTTTTGCCCTTCTGGTTGGTTTGTCGGGTTGTCTCACCGTAGCTTTAATTGGCATTTCCCTGATGACTAGAGATGTATATATTTTTTTCATGTGTTTGTTTACCATCCAGAAACCTTGGGCAAATTGTTCAAATTGTTTTTCCCTTAAAAAAAATTGGGCTGTACACCCTCTGATTGAATTATGATAGTCTCAAAATTTTGGATGCCAGTCATCCATCAGATGTCTGTTTTCCAAACACGTTTTCCCAGTCTGGGGCACATGTCATGATTTTGTAAAGAGCATCTTTCAAAGAAGAAAATTCTCAATTTTTTTGCCCGTCTGAATTTAGGACACAAAGGCAAGTAGAGAGAGAGATGGTGCAGATGAAGACAGCTTCCTCTTCCCAAATGAGCCACAGATGCTTTTTGAGTGCTGACTTCATAGAAAACTCTAGGCTGAAACTTGAAAGCATATGAACACCCACTTTAGACAAAACCAGCAATGGGTTTCAGTAGCTTCTCTAATTTCATTAAATGACACCCCTCACTATGCTATTTTGTCTTTATAGACACAGATGTAGATAAATATTTTACCTATGGTTTATAAACCATAAATATTTTCATGGTTTACCCATGTATAACCATGAAAATGGCAGTTCCCTTTAGTCAAATATTATACTCAATACATTTATCTGAATTGTATCATTTGTAGTGTTTATACCCTTGAGGTTCATTAGCAAAAAAAAATGTTACTAGTGACTTGGTAGGTTTAATACGTTAGCACTAGGAAAAGTCAAATAAAGGTCAAAAAGTAAAAAAAAGTACCTTTTATTTGACATTGGTGAAATAAGTCTAAAGTAGTAAAGAAATATAGTAGAGTTAACTCTGGATAGTGTTTAAAACCCAATTTTTAAAGCCATTTTTCAGCCCTGACTAGTGTTGCTCAGTTGCTTAGGCATTGTAACGCCAATGGAAAGGTCACTGGTTTGATTCCTGGTCAGGGCACATGCGTGGTTGCAGGCCAGGTCCCCTGTTGGGGTCGTGCAAGAGGCAACTGGGCTAGGTTTTTGTTTTTTATTTGTTTTTTTTTTGTGCTATTTGTAAGTTTTCTTGCAGTCTTTTTATCTTTCCTTGAATATTTTACTCAGGGGTTCTAAAAGGTAATCTGGTCTCCATCTTCTAGGAACTGAAGTTGATCTTTGTAGAATCAGATTTTGTTTGTATTTTTCTTTTAAAACCATTTTCATTTGCTCTGGCTGGGTTATGCCAAGGTGTGTTCCCTCCCCAGCCAGGACGCATCGCATGCAAGGATCAACCAGTGAAAAAAAAAAAAGGAAGAAAAGAATCAATGAATGCATGCATAAATAAGTGAAACAACAAATCCACATTTCTTTCTCTCCCTTCCTCTCTCTCTAAAAATTAACAAATAAAATTTAAAAGAGTCCTGGCTGGTGTAGCTCAATGGATTGAACACGGGCCTGTGAACCAAAGGATTGTGGTTCGATTCCCAGTCAGGGCACATGCCTGGGTTACAGGCCAGGTCCCAGCAGGGGATGCACAAGAGGCAACCATACATTGCCATTTCTCTCTATCTCTCCTTCCCTTCTCCTCTAAAGATAAATAAATAAAATCTTTTTAAAAATTAAAAGAATATTTTATTAAAAAGTATAAATATTAAAACATTTAGAAACATCAAAAATTAATTTTTTCATTCAAAATAAAAAGTCCATGCCTTTACTTTCTAGTTCTTTCACAGGCCAGAAGTGACACCACATAACACAAATCCCCCATAATACGTCGCCTTGTCAGGCTGACCCGTGGCCACGTGCCAGGCAAACAAGAGCTCCCACCAGTCAGGACACTGGAGGGACCCAGAGAGCACGTCCCAGTGTCTAAGGCGAAGGGCAGGCCTCTCTGCAGTTGGGTTCCGTCTGCACCACACTCTGAATGCAATTTCCAGCCTTTTTCATCTCATGGCACCCATACACGAACTACTGAAAGTCTGTGGCATGCCAAAAAATGTTATATTTTTTGTCAGTCTAACCAAAGATATAGGTATAGTGTTAATCCATCCGCATCAGGTGATTATTGTTATGTTTATTGCTGCTGTTGCTGTTGTTTTGTGGGTTTTTTTTCACAATGTATGGGAAAAGAAGTGTGTGTGCCTTACTCAAGAGTCAGGTGTGGAATGTTTTAAAAATTCATGCAGCACACCAGTGAAAATCGGTGCTCTAAGATTTCCCGTATGAGGGTTTTATTTGCTACAACCCCACTCTTCCTTGTCTACTCTCAGAGATTCCAATCCACACACACCAGGGTGGTGATGGGTTGGCCTGCCCTTGAGCAAGAAGCCGTCTTCATCAAATACTGACCACTTCCTAGCAACCGAGGCGGACTTGTCCTTATTTATCCCTGACCGAACCAGTGCTGTGAAGCACGTACAAGGGACGAAGTATGTGTTTAACACTGAATGAGAAAAGTCTTTACATTTGTAAAATTCTTTGCCATTTGATTTAGAGTCAAAACTTTGGAATTCTGCAAGATGGATCTTGCCCATTTCGCAGGTAAGAAAACTGCCTTTCTTAATCACTTGACCTTTATTATTACAGGGATAAGGCAGATGCCCCAGCTGAAAAGATTCATGGCCACAGAGGACACAGACCACCAGTGTAGGGAGGTGGTTCTGAAGGAGTTTCCTCAGGTGAGACAGGAGCTGGAGGAGTGCATAGCGCAGCTCCACGCGCTGGCTGACAAGGTGGACAAGGTGCACAGGCACTGTGCCATCTCCAACGTGGTGTCCAGTTCCGCCGGCGCCGTGTCTGGCATTCTGACCATCGCTGGCCTGTCCCTGGCACCTGTGGCAGCTGGGGCCAGTCTGGTGCTTGCAGCAACTGGGGCAGGACTGGGGGCAGCAGCAGCTGTGACCAGGCTGTTCACCAGCATCGCAGAGGTTGTAGAGAACCAGTCCGCAAAGGACAAAGTCAGAAGGCTAGTGCCAACTGGCATCAAGGAGTGGTACATGGTCAAGGAGAATGGAGATCAGAGAAGATTCGAACTGGAGTCCTTAGCACAATCTTGCTTTAAATCCCTGCAAAACGTTGTGAAGAATGTGGAAGCCTATAACCAGGCCAAAGACAACCCTAGCTTAGTAGCCAAGGCCAGGGTGTTCCTGGCCACTGGAAACACCTCTGACGAAAGCCACAAGGAACTGCAGGCAGCTTTTAGAGGCACCTTTCTGGCAATGGACACGGAATCCAGGAAGTCTGTGAGAGTCGATGCAGCTCACTCATTTGTGGCAGATGTGATCACACTTGCCCGAGAGGCAAAGCACTTGGATGACGGGGCAAAGGCACAGTTGGCTGAAGAGTTGAGGCAGCTGGCCTGGGAGCTGGAGAGCGAATTGAAGAAACTCACTCAGAATCAGCAGGAGGTAGAGCGGCTCAACAAGCAGCTCCACATTCAGAGGGAGGGCCTCATGAGCTCCCTGGACAGTGTGGACAAGAGGGTGAGTACCAGCAGGGGCCCACAGGGACAGTAAAGGGGACTAGCAGGTGAACAGACACTGAGGCAGGGACCTCAGGCACCTCTTGTCCCTCTGCTCCTGACTCGGGTTCCCTTGGGTGGCAGGACATTGAGCTGGAAGCAGTGATCCATGGCTGTGGCTGCTCGGAAGAAGCTAGAGATGGACCCGAGGGGCCTGGAGGCAGTGGGAGGGCACATGCTGGGGCAGGGGCAGGTGGGCGGCCACTGGAATGGGGGCGTCAAGCATCTCCTCCCCACGCCCAGGTCTGGGAGAAGAACTACTTTCGAGAGCTGGAGGACAGGCGCACCTTCCGCGAGGAGATCCTGGCGCAGGCCAAGGAGAACGAGAAGAAGCTGAAGAGCATGGCAGCCGAGATGATTCAGCTGCAGGAGGTGGCCGGGCCCAGGGGCACTCAGGGTCACTGCCCTCTGGCTGGCAGAGGCAGCTCAAGGCCTCCCATGGGACAGCCTTGGGCAGCACTGGAAATAAACCAGGGGAATGCCGTGGACGAGTGGGGGTGGCTCTCTGTGACAGAAGTCCCCTCAGGGCTTCACTAAGTGGCAGGGCTCCCTGGAGTAAAGGACACTGTGTGTCACCACCACCTCCTGCTGCTGAGAATTGGGGCCTGGAGAGGAGGGGTCCCTCCCAGACGCCTATGCCCTGAGTGTCCCCTTGCCTGTCACATATGAGGCACATGTGGAGGCGGTCCCTGTGTTCCAGGCAGCCTTCTGCAGTGTGAGGTTATAGCCAGTGAGTTCCGTGGCCAGACATCCAGGCACGTTCCCATTCACTCTGAGGCCCTCAGAGAGAAGGACACCTACTGGGTGTCATTATTCAGTAGAGTGGTGGGGACAGATCAGGTGGGAGCCTTCTGAGACCAGGACACTTGCTAGCAAGCCACCTCCCAAATTTGCCCAACATCCCTTTTGCTGCAGAGGTGGCGGTGTCAGGATCTGAACGCTGCCGTCCTTCCTGGGACACTGGAAAGAGCAGCTTCATGGAAGGGCCCGGATGCCCCTCTTCACTCCTTTGCTTCCTCCCCACCAGGTAAAAGCCAACCTTGAAAAGGCCAAGCAGACCCTGGAGCATGAGCGAGGGGAGCTGGCCAAGGAGGTGAAGGTCCTGCTGCAGGGCAAGTGGGACTCAGAGCACAAGTGGCAGAAAGTGGAGGCCCAGCTGCAGGCGCTGCAGGTGAAGTTCAAGGAGGGAGAGCGCAACTGCCAGCCCCCGGGCCTGGGCGCCGCTCCCTGCAGCCGCTCCTCCGTCTTGGCCCTGTTTGCCAAGACGGCTGCTCTTTCTCTTCTTCTTATTCTTCTCTTTCATTTCGTTTTTTTTTCTTCTTCTAGTTTCTAATTTTAAGAAATCCTTCATTTTGAAAGTGTTTTAAAATACCATTTTTACTTAAGCCAGCCTCAAAGATAAGCACAAAACTGACCGGTTCACTTTTTTAACCACGGCCACCAGAGCCGCCACTTCTAGGCGGCGTGCTCTGCCAGCCGAGAGCAGAGGGAGGCTCGGACTCAGACCGTGACTTTGCTGCCCGAGGGTCAGACCACCTCGTGCAGAGAGGAGACGTGCACATGGTCGCCGGGCACATGGTGGCCATTCCTACTGCTGACCTGCCCCGGACTCGCCCTGGCTCACGGAAAAGCTAGTTCCTGCCCAATTCAGGATGTTTCAGTGAACTCAACCCCCATTTCCTTAAAACATAGAAGAGCAGAACTCTTTTTTTTTTGTTGTTAAAAACTAAAAAAAGGAACAATTCTCCACAAAAGGGCATTTTCTGTTTTTAATAAGTACTTTTAAAATTTCTTTTTTCCCCTCTAGCTTTTAAGTCTCCTCCTTCCGATATTGCCTTTTCCTGTACAAAACAGATATCTTTTTATGCTGTTTTTCTTTTTCTCAAAATAAAAAAGTACTGCAGCTTAAAGACTAAACATTTGCAAGACTAGTGATAAATATTTTTAAAAATTTAAAGATGAATCACCTACATTACCTTGATTAAGTCAAAAATAAAAACCAGTTGGCACTAAGATGGCTCTTTTAAGTGTTTAAACAATTTTAAAAGCTGGCCCTGGCTCGTGCGGTTCAATAGATTGAGCATGGGCATGCAAACCAAAGGGTCGCTGGTTCGATTCCCAGTCAGGGCACATGCTGGGGTTGCAGGCCAGGACCCCATTTGCAGGCGCGTGAGAGGCAACCACACGTTGATGTTTCTCTCCCTTTCTTTCTCCCTTCTCCTCTCTCTAAAAATACATAAATAAACTCTTTTTAAATTTTTAGAAAATGTGTATTTATTTTGTAAGAATGCACCGCTAGACCAAAGCAACTACGTTTTTAAAAGTTCTTGGCTGTGCTGACCGGGGCGGCTCCATTTGTTAGGCAATCATCCCACAAAGTGCAAGGTCACCGGTTGGATTCCAAGTCAGGGCTCACGCCCGGGTTGCAGGTCTGGCCCCTGATTGGGGTGGAGTACAAGAGGCCACCAATCACACTGATGCTTCTCTCCCTCTCTTCCCTCCCTCTCCCTCGCTTTAAAGATAAATTTTAAAAATCTTTAAAATAAAATCTTTGGCAAAAAATTTACAAAAACTTTTTCCATTGAACCTAATAAAAGTGATACATAGACAATATTTGGTATTATCGCCTTTGGTTTAATGAGTTCGGATTCTACAGCATTCCCAAGGCACAGTGATCTGGGAGACAAATGGGCTCTGCAGGCGTGACGTGACGGGGGCATCCGTGCCCAGCTTCCAGGGAGCCCCACAGGCCCCTGCCCCGGATGCCGTGGGGCTGAGAGGAGACTCGCACCTCGGCCCCCAGGGCCGCGGGGAACTCTGGCAGCCACTGAACCGGCTGCTGGACTTGGGCCTCTCCTCTCCTGGGGATCTGAGGCCCAGCAACAGGCCATCCTGGAAAAGAGGTCATCAGGACAGGTGACGGGATGGGCTTTTCGACAGCCATCTCTCAGACTTGTGGCCATCTCAAAGGGATGAAGACGGAGAATGGGGAGTAGGGACAGAAACCCTGGGGGGAATGTCTCAGGTCAAGAACCCACCTGATTTTGTGTTTACTATGGACGGTGAGCCCTTGACTATCACACACACACGTGCCTCGTTCTCAGACAAATATAAACGACCTTCCTTCACCTGTTCCGGATCCAACGACTCCACTTACAAGGGCAAGTGTGCTCACCATTTCTGCAGCTGGAGACACACGTACTCCCACCACTTCATCTGGGAGCTGTGTGGTGGGGCAGAGGGCCTCAGCCCAGCGTCCGTGTTTCTCATGTTCCAGTGGGTTCCTTTCTCACTATTTTGCACGTGTAGACATGAAACAACGAGGTACAGTAGAGACCACAACCACCACTGACCATTGCTGCCAGCGGGGCGTTCGCTGTTAGATCTTGGAAGGGGCAGGGTGCAGAGAGGATGAAGGGGACATTTAACTCCACTAAGGGAGCAGGGACAGAGAAAGTGACCAAAAGGCACTTTCTCAAGGCTGTAGATAGAGGCTTAATAAGAACCACAGAGGGACAGTTAAGCTCAGAGCAGACCTGAGTAGGGAGATCAGAATAAAGTATTCCAGAAGTAAATTTGTGCAGTTCGTGGTGACAGAGATGCGGGGTTGGGGGGGGTAAGACTAGCCTGGACCTGGAGCAGTACACGCAGGAGGAGAGTGGGATGGGACTCGGAGGGAAGGAGGTAAAAGTCGATGGGGCACAACCAAGGGGCACAGGGACGGGAGCTGGGCATGGCGTTCAGTTCAAAGTTAAATGTCAGGTTGGTGGGAAAAGACCTCCTGGATGGACTCACCCCACTCTAGGAAGTGAGGGGGGCTGGACATCTTTCCCCAGTGGAAGCCTCTGGCAGATCCCGAACTTCTTGGTTTTTTCTCTCTCCATAGGGTCAGCTGGCAAGATGGACCCCAGAAGTCTCTCTCTATCCCAAAGTAAAAATCGATGACAAAGAAGGAAGGTGCTCAAACAGAACAGGGGGAACCCAATCTGAGCTTGAGAAGGAGCAGGATCAACTTGAGGAGACAGGTGGGGCGAGGGAATGAGACAAGGGGAGATGGAGGCCATCAGGCATTGGAGGGCTGCCCCATCGCTGCCAGGAAGGAGGTGCAGCGAGGAAGATCCCTGCTGCCGTGGGAGCCACAGGTCCCCGGAGGCCTGGGAGCTCAAAGGCCACAGAAACATGGCCCTGGGAAGGGACAGCTGTTGGGAGAGCCACGGTCCCTGAACCAGAGTTGCTCCCCTTGCCAAGTTCTCTCTGCCTTAAGAGTGAATTTCACAAGTCTATTGCTTGAGTCTTTTCTGAATTCTCTTCCTGTTGGTCCAGGTGGCCAGAGCCTCAGCTTTGATGAATCTTTAAATGATGCGTTGGGATCGCCCCCTTGTCTCTCTCCCGGAGCTTTGCCCGTCCCGCCCTCTCCAGCAGTCTGCCCTGGGCTCTGGCCTCTGGTTTTTCAGGCCAGAAAGATGGGGGTGGCTTTTCTCCAGACTTTTGGCCACGCTGTAAAAACGGAGCCTCACTCTTTGCCCATCATTTCACCTGCATTTTGACTCCCCTCAAAATCTCCTGCTTTAGCTCCTTCTCCCGAGTCCTGAACTTTGTCCAGTGCGCGTGGCTATTGTCTGAGAGTCCTAGGTTAGGAGCTTCATTGAAATTATTATTATTTCATTTTTTTTATTTTTTTTATTTTTTATTGATTATGCTGTTACAGTTGCTCTATTCCCCCTTTCATTTCCCTCCACCCTACCCCCCATCCCCACCATTACCCTCCCTTTAGTTTATGACCATGTGTCTCAAGTCCTTTAGATTCTATATTTCCCACGCTATTCTTGCCCCCCCATCTATTTTCTATCTACTGTCTATGCTACTTATTTTCTGTACCTTCTCCCCCCTTCTCCTCCTCCCACTCCCCTGTTGCTAACCCTCCTTGAGATCTTCATTTCTATGTTTCCACTCCTGATCTAGCTGTCCTTTTAGTTTGCTTTCATTTTAGGTGTGGTTGTTAATAACTGTGAGTTTGTTGTCCTTTCACTGTTCATGTTTCTTTAACTTCTTTTTCTTAGATAAGTCCCTTTAACATTTCATATAATAAGGGCTTGGTGATGATGAACTCCTTGAATTTGATCTTATCTGAGAAGCGCCTTATCTGTCCTTCCATTCTAAATGAAAGCTTTGCTGGATAGAGCAATCTTGGTTGTAGGTCTTTGGATTTCATGACTTGGAATACCTCTTTCCAGCCCCTTCTTGCCTGTAAGGTCTCTTTTGAGAAATCCGCTGACAGTCTGATGGGCAGTTCTTTGTAGGTGACTGTCCCCTTATCTCTTGCTGCTTCTAGGATTCTCTCCTTCATTTTAATTTTGGCTAATTTAATTATGATGTGCCTTGGTGTGTTCCTTCTTGGGTTCAACTTCTTTGGGACTCTCTGAGCTTCCTGGATTTCCTGGAAGTCTATTTCCTTTGCGAGATTGGGGAAATTCTCCTTTATTATTTGTTCAAATAAGTTTTCCACTGGTGGCTGTGCCTTTCCCCCTTCTGGTACCCCTATAATTCGGATGTTGGAGCATTTAAAGATGTCCTGGAGGTTCCTAAGACTCTCCTCATTTCTTTGAATTCTTGCTTCTTAGACTCTTTTCTGTTTGGCCATTATTTGCTTTCTTCTGGTCCACTCCATTGATTTGAGTCCCAGTTTCCTTTTCATTGCTATTGGTGTCCTGTGCAATTCCATTCATTTCAATTAGTTTCGCCTTCATATATTTGTCTAATTTGTGGGTATAATCAACCAGTTCTGTGAGGATCCTGATCACTAGTGTTTTAAACTGTGCGTTTGAGAGTTTTGCTATTTATTCATCACTTAGATCTATAGGCTCTGGGGCTTTGAGATCTTCTTGCGCCATTTTTGGTCTGTTTGTGCCCTTTAAGTGTGAGAAGCGGCGACTTGGACTCCCGGGTCGCTGGGTTTTGACACTGTATGTGGAGGTGGGGTCAGAGCAGGGAAATGGCAGTGCCTTCCCTGCTGCTTGCCGCGGGGACCGGCTGGGTTCCGGTCCAATCGCCCACTCCCTCGCTTGTCTATCCGCGCATCAATGCGCGACCACAGTCAACCCGCAGCCCTGCTCCCTCGCTGTTTCCCCGCGGTCGCTCGGTCGCTCACTAGGTCCAACCCTGCACCGCGTTGGATTCTCACCTGAGTCCGTCTGACCAAGTTCTCCTGTGCAACCCCGCTTCACCAGCCGCTGGTTTCCCCCCTTACCGGTCAGGCTGAAGAATTTGTTGTTAACGGACTTCCGAAAAGTTCAATTTTCCGTGTTCTGGCTGTGTTTTCTGTTGCTAATATTTAGTTGTCTCTAAACTTGGTTGTGTGAGAAGGCACGGCACATCCACCTATGCCTCCATCTTGGTGGAAGTCCCATTGAAATTATTTTTGAGCCTTCGTTCCTTCACTGACTTGCTGTGTGACGCTGAGCCAGTCCTCGTCCCTGCTCTGCCTCAGTTTCCCACCTAGGTCATGGGGCGAGCGTCCTGTTCCTCCTCAGAAGTACATGAGAAGGAAGTAACTGAACTGCACACTGTAGGGCTGTCCTGACGCAGTGGCACCCATCTCTTTGTCCCCTCACAGGCTGTCCGAGGTCCAGGGGGCTTCGCGACATTTGTCCTAGTGAAACAGGCCCTTCTGGGGACGTTGAGTCCAGGCCACTGTATTCCGGGCCCACTCCCACCCCTTCCCTTTGTAGGTGAATCAGAATCGTGAGACCACCAACTCCAGAGTCCCACCCGGGTTTCTATTTCTCTTTGAGACTTCAGGTGAGTTGTTTTCCTCTCTGAGCCTTGATTTCTTTGTTTGTAAAGCGAGTGCCTCCCCCTGAGAGCGGCTGTAAGCATCGAACCCGAGGACTTGTGAAGCCCTCAGCACAAGTCTCGAACCCTTGACAGCTGCTGTCCACACCGGCAGCACAGCACAGGCGCGCCGGGTGGCTATTGAGTTTCTGCAATGCCTGCCCCTCCCTCAGCTTCTTTGTTTTAAGAGAAAAGATGTGGCCCTGACTGGTGTGGCTCAGTGGTTTGGGTGTTGCTTCACGAACCGAAAGGCTGCTGGTTCGATTCCCAGGGTACACACCTGGGTTGCAGGCCAGGTTCGCCGTGGAGGGATATGGGAAAGACAATAGATCGATGTTTCTGCTGCACACAGATGTTTCTCTCCCTCTCTTCCTCCCTCCCTTCCCCTCTCTGTAAAAATAAACAAGTAAAAGATCTTAAGAGAGAAAGGGAGAGAGGGAGGGAGAGAAGATGTACAATCGAGCAGAGATGAGCTGCTGCGGAAAAGCCAGGTTTTCTGTGAACCAGTTCCCACAACCCCGTGTCCCCCACTGTCCACCAGCTGTCCACCAGCTCGTGCCCTCTCACTTCTACTTTTATTTGAAAGCCACTCACCTCTGCCTACTCGATCACGTCTGGGCCTTCAGCAGGACACGGGGGACGCAGATGCACTCGGGAAACCCGCAGTCAAGTCAGCGTTGTCTGGTAGGAGGGAACAGACCGAAAGGGGCAGGTGGCTGGGGACAGTCAGCGCTGTCAGGGAGGACTCACGGGGGGAGGGGGTCCTCC